GGTTTCCCTTGAATCCTAGTGTGAAAGTAGCCTGGAACACCTTATGACATGGTTAGAATTCTTGGCAGATAGAGAATGATCCATTTCTTTGCTCTTCCTTAATCTCTTTGGATTCCAGATTTACATCACAACTAATGATGAACTTCAGGTCTTTGGTAACAAATGTGTCTCTAAGACACTTTGCTCTTTAGTTAAACTTAATTTCAGATTGAAAAGCAGAGGAATGAAATAGGCTGAAGATTTTGGGAGTCCCTCAAAAATAAGGCATTCTGATAGCGAGTTTTTTTGGTGGTCAGGTACTGGAGATTGCATCCAGGGGTACTTAACCACTGAGCCACGTCCAGAGCCCCTTTTTTATTTTATTTTGAGACAGCATCTCACTGAGTTACTGCAGCTGACTTTGAACTTGAAGTCCTCCTGTCTCAGCCTCCTGTGCTGCTGGGATTAGAGGCATGCACCTCTGTACCCTGAAGGAGTTTGGTTTAAGAATTATAACAAAAGATTTTTTCCTCCAATTTTAAGATTTCATGGAGAAAATCTTATTTACAAGTTGTCTTTAGCTTTTTAGTTTGGCCTGGAATAGAAATGTATTAGACTTTTTTATTTGCAAGCAACAGAGTTCTATCTAACTAAAATGCAAAAGTAATATCATTAGAAATTCACAGAATATAAGGGAGAACCAAACTATCAATTCTCGAAAAGTAGTACAAAATCTTGCTCAGAGGCTTATTGGTTGAAACAAAGAAACATACACTAAAACTTACAAAAATTACTCAGAATATTTTTTAGAAAAATCAGTTATTATCTCCTATAAATTAAAATAAACTTTTGATAAGTTAACATTAGTATTTTTTTACTAGTAAAACTAAATATATTTTTATGAGTGAATTATGTCTATACATAAGATTCCTTGTGACATATTCATACATGCATGCAACATAATTTGGCGAGTTTTGTTCCCCAATATCTCCCTTTCCTTTGCACCCCTGCCTTCCTCCATACTTTCATGGTCTCCTAGTTTCATGAGACTCCCCTGCTTGTCCCTTTTTTTTCCATTCTGAATTCCACACAAGAGAAAACATGACTTGAATTTCTGAGTCTGGCTTTATTTTGTTTAACTTAATGCAGTCAAGTTTCATCCATTTTCATGAAAATGACATAATTCTTTCTGTCTGAGTAAAACTCTGTATATATATCACATTTTTTATCTGTTGACAGACATGGTGGCTGGTTTCGTAACTTAGCCATTGTGAATTGCACATATAAACATGGGTATGCATGTGTCATATGCTGACTTCCATTATTTTAAAACCAAATGCTTTTTAATGAAAATATCAATTTGTAATTTTTGAAAGATTCTTACATTTTTATCAGAGGATTACTTTTTTGGTCAACTCATGAGCCTTTTTCTTGGTGGGTTTGCTTTTGAATGTGGTAGACACACCATACAGACACAGACAGACAGGTTGAAAATGAAAGGATGGAAATTTATATACCATGCAAATGGAGCCTGAAAACAAGCAGGAGTATACCTACTCTTGTACATGACAAAGCAGATTTCACAACAAATTCAGTCAGAAGAGACAAAGAGGGTATTTGATAAGTTCAGCAAGAAGATACAACAACAATAAATATTTATGCCCCCAAAGTGGGTTCCTCTAACTATGTAAAAGAGGCACTACTCAAATTGAAGTGTCAGACCCCAGTATAATAATATTAGGTGATTTTAGCACACCTCTTTCACCATTAGATAGGTCATCTAGACATAAATTCAGAAGACTTTTTGGACATGAAAAATATTATTAATCAAATGGACCCAACAGACACTTGTAGAATATTTCATCCAACAATGGCTAAGTATACTTTCTTCTCAGCAGCTCATGGAACCTTATCCAAAACAGATCATATTTCAGGCCACAAGGCAACTTTTAGGAAATAGAAAAAAAATTATATAATCCTTGCCATATTATCAGATCATAATGGAGTGAAATTAGAAATCAACAGGTCAAAACCTTATAGAAACTATATAAACACATGGAGATTGAACAGTAGTTTTTTTGAATGATGAATGGGTGATAGAAGAAATCAAAGGCAAAAATGACAAAATTCTTAAACTCAAATGAAAATAGTGACACAATATACCAGAACCTCTGGAACACTATGAAGGCAATTCTAAGAGGAAAGTTTATAGCTCTGTGTTCCTACAGAAGGAAATCAGAAAGATCCCAAATAAACAACCTAATTTGCATTTCAAGACACTTGAAAAAGAACAAACTAATTCTAAAACCTGTAGAAGGAAGGAAATAATTAAGATCAGAGCCAAAATCAGTGAACCTGAGAATAATAAAAAAAATACAAAGGATCAGTGAAACAAGAGTTGGATACTTTGATTGATAAGTCCTTAGCTAAACTAACCAAAAGAAAAAGAGAAGGGTGGAATCAAATGATTTTATTTATTACATTTTATAATTGTAAAAAATTACAATCGTTAAAAAATAGCACTCCAGTTGTTGTGGTTTAGAGAATTTGTTTTGCTTTATTGAAAAAGAATTAAAATTGATGTGTTAAAATGTTTCTCAAAGCTTAAAACATGATTTTTAAATGTTATTTTTTACTTTTAATTTTGCTTTTGGTACATCCAAATATTCAGCTTGTTTTTTCATAGTTTTTGGTATTTTCTGAAAAATCAAAAAAAGTTTTTTTCTTTTAAAGAAAAAGAGAGAAAACCCATATAATAAAATTAGAAATGAAAAAGTAGAAATCTCCACAGACACCTCAGAAATTCAGGGGATCATATCAGGGACTAGTTTTGAAATTTATATGCCAATAAATTGGAAGACCTAGAAGAAGTGGATATATTTCTAGACAAAATAGATGTGCCAAAAATGAATCAAGAGAACATGGAAAACCTAAACAGACCAATAGCTTATAATAAGATAATACTAATTAAGCCTTTTTTGCAAAAAAATTATAAAATTATTATTACTATTTTGGTTATATGATTCATATGTATTTTGTATAGGTTTTATAAACAGCCAGATTACTGGTTTTTATAGCCTATCACTGGACCTTGGTTTTAGATTTTTCAGATAGTAATGCTTTCTGTTTCTTTATAATACTTATCCTTTCTTGTTTCTTTTCTTTTTTTTTTTCTTTTAATGCACTGCTTTGGATTTGTTTTCATTTGAACAATAGCAGTGATAAATGGACCATGCTGTCATGATCTTTCTTTTTAATGGCCTTGCCTCTTTTTATACTTTTACTGTGATGATGGCCACTGTTTGAGAAGTCTCCTATATTATTAACAATCCTTTTCTCAGATGTTTTATAAAACCAGATAGTGAATATTATCTTTTTATTAAATGCTTTTATTAATATTTGCGCAACTTACTTTTTCATGAGTTTGCACAGTTTCTGGTTTAATACCAGGCTCATGATAACTTGATGTAATTCCTGATATACTACTACATTTTGTGTGTCTGGGATTAATGATTAATTGTATATACTTGAAAGTTGATAAAGAACGATAGTAAAATCATGAGGACCTCAAATATTTTGGAGCAGTGGTTTAAAAAACCAAAATTCTTTCTTCCATAGCTGTTAACTATAGTCAGTGAAAATTGTCACTTGCTTTCTATAATATCACTTAAATAGTAAAGTTTGTCCTCTAATTTACATTTTTTCCCTTCCAAAATGTGTACATGAAAGTAATAATATGAAATATTTTAGTTGTTTAGAACTGTTTGAACATGTTTAAATACATTTTTTGATTATCTTGTGATATCTTTTACATTACATATATGTATATATTTAAAAATTCTAATTAGGCAAAATTAAGTTTTAAAGGTATTCATTGTTCATATAGTTTTCATTTTTTGAATATATATTTTGGTTTACTTCTTAATTTTGGGGGGAGTAACTGGGGATTGAACTCAGGGGCATTCAGCCACTGAGCCACATCCTCAGCCCTATTTTGTATTTTATTTAGAGACAGGGTCTCACTGAGCTGCCTAGTGTCTTGCTTTTGCTGAGGCTGGCTTTGAACTTGCAATCCTCCTGCCTCAGCCTCCCAAGCTGTTGGGATACTTTTTAATTTTTGTACTTTTTTCTTTTGCTAGGCAACACATGTGAGTGGTAAACTCTTCAAGGACCTACTATTTGTGTTCTAATGTACTTGTTAATGAACTAATATCTTGATTGACTATAGTATTCATGAATGTTAGTCTTCCCTCAAAACAATATAAGTTTTGCTCCATTGCTTTTTGGAAGGAAATAAATATTATATGGAAAAAGGTTGATGTCATTTCATTTTAAGTTTTGCTTATGGAATTTTTTTTTTATCCTGAAAAGGAAAAAAATAGATTTCACATTTATATAAGCATTTCTTCATTAGTGTTTGCTAAAAATTGGTCTGTCTTGAAAGATCTTTTTTATGTTAATTTTTAATATAGGAATCCTCTAAAAGAAAATAGTTTGTTATGTTTGGTTTGAAAGCTCTTATATGAATAAGTTATTTATTGCTGTATAAAAAAATTACCCTAAAACTTAGTAACTTTAAAACAATATCTACTCATTATCTCTTTCAATGTCTGTGGGTTAGGAATTTAGACATGGGAGAAGATACATTAGATGGATCTTCAGTTTTAGAGTCTCATGGGGATGTAAAGTGTCAGCCAGCTCTGGAATCTCACATAAGAATGGTTGACTGGGGAAGGCTCTGCTTCCAAGGTTTGTCTTATTCTAGCGCTTTTTTTTCTACAGTAGTATATATTGGCGAGTATTTAGCTTGATTGATATTCACTGTTTGAATCTTACATCCAGCCCAGAGAATATCTTATTCAGTCCTTTTTGATGTTCAGTCATAAGAATGGGGGGGAGTGGTGGGGGCGGAAGGAGAGGGAATATAAATCTGAGAAAAGGGGGAAAAGTGGGGAGAGACACTGTATGTTTTGTGTAACTTCTCCATTTTAACAGCTCCATTATGTGTTTTCCCCTCATAGGTGCCTTAGCTGGACCAATTATTGTGGAGCCACATGTCGCAGCAGTATGGGGAAAGAATGTTTCATTGAAATGTTTAATTGAAGTAAATGAAACCATAACACAAATTTCATGGGAGAAGGTACATGGCAAAAGTTCACAGACTATTGCAGTTCATCATCCTCAATATGGATTCTCTGTTCAAGGAGAATATCAGGGAAGAGTCCTGTTTAAAAACTATTCACTTAATGATGCAACAATTACTCTACATAACATCGGATTCTCTGATTCTGGAAAATACATATGCAAAGCTGTTACGTTCCCACTTGGAAATGCCCAGTCCTCTACAACTGTAACTGTGTTAGGTAGGTGTACTTGAATTGTGTATTTTGGTGATAGTAGTGAGGGTTATATATTGATATTCCCTGTTTGAATCTTATTTTCAAATTTTAAAATGTTTTAAATTTTCTTCAAATTTGGATTTAAAATACAGTAATTCAAATGTGATTTCTCAAATTTTGTCTTAAAACTGATTCTAGGATCTTTTATCTTTTAAATTATTATTAGTAATATCTATCCATCTGTCTATATAATTCGTCATTGTTTTAGCTTTTTACTTTTTTCATGAAAGATAATGTTTTAATTGTACTAGAAGCTGTTTCTGTGACATTTGTTTCTATTACTACCTCTTATATTTTTAACCTCGAAATAAATAATTACCATCTTTATTTAGGTTTTTCTGTTTTTATTTTCAGTGATTGATTTTGACTTCTTGGAGCCTTCTGACAATTTTTTCACATCAAAAATTTTTTTTCACATCAAATTTTATTCACATCAAATTGGCCTTTGTGGATTTGGATAGGTATTTGAATCTTGTGATATTGCTCATAATAAATGATATTACTCCATTTTTCTATCTGATAACTGTTAAAATTTATGGTGAAATTTTGAATAACCTTATTAGCATTAAGATAACCACCTGCAGAAGGATGTTAAACAATTTTGAAATACTGCAGAGTATTTTTGGAATGATGCAATAAGGATCAAGGAGCAATATTTTATTGCTCACATAGAAATATACTGCTTAGATCTTTCCTCCAAAAACTGCTCAGCTGGGGCTGGGGCTGGGGCTGTAGCTCAGGCGAAGAGCACTTGCCTAGCATGTGTGAGGCATTGGGTTTGATTCTCAGCACCACATATAAATAAAATAAAAATCCATCAACAACTTAAAAAAAAAAAAAAAAACCTTAAAATTAAATTAAATTAAAAACAGACTGCTCAGCTGCTAGGAGTTTGGTTACTGATAGTTTTCCCTAAAGCTAATAAGAATTCCTGACATATAACAGCCATACAGTAAATGTTATATAAGTAAGGTATAAGAATGAATTTGGTGAACATGGTAGTTAAGAAATGTTTTATAGACTCAGTAGTTGTGTTAGTCTTTAATGATGGACAGTTTTTGTGTATAGGTAAAAATTAAAGAATAGGAAAATATTATTCTAAAATTGAGAGCAGGTGAGCCAAGGCAGAGAGACAGAAAACTATAAATTAAGGCAAAATTTTTCTTACTTCCCACTGTTGAATTTTGGGGTCAGAATTCTTCATTTTGGTGAGCTGTCCTATCCAAGGTAGCCTATTTAAAAGCATCCATGACCCCTAACTAACTAAATGCCAGTAGCGCTTCCATCATCCCGTTTGAAAACTCTGCATTAGTGGAACACTGAAAAAGTAATGTGTTGATTCTTCACAAAGTATTTATATAGAAAACAAAAATTTTCAAGTCTTGAAAGGTAGAATAAGAGCAAATTAAAGTAATTTGAATGTTAGACTAACATATTACTAGAAATATGACCTTAGAGTGTGTGTGTGTGTGTGTGTGTGTGTGTGTGTATATATATATATATATATATATAATGGTGTGCTGCTTCTTTCCTACTCTCAGATCATTCCTGGGTCCATGAACCAGCAGCACTTGGAAGCTTATTAGGAGTACAGAATTTCGGACCTCTCTCAGAGTTACTGAACAATAATTTATGTTTTAGCAAGACCCTCTAATGATTTGTGTCCACTACTACTGTGTTCTCACCTGACTTAGAGAACTAACTTGATGACTAATTTAAAGTAGACTTCATGTAGTGAAAGTTCTGATTTAGGAAGATTAGTCTAGAATAGATTAAAATGATGAGATCCTAAAATCATACTGTTTTGGCCATGAGGCTGTAAAGTCTTGAAATTAATTTTCTAATTTCTGCCATTTTAGTGAAGAAGGGCAATATTACTAAGGAATAGTTAGCAGGATTTTATAACTCTTTGTAAATATAAGAAACAAGGGAAGTTTGAATAGTGTAACAGCTTTTGAAACTTGCTGATGGAACAAAACAAATTGTTGCTATTATTTGAATGGGCTCATCTGAATTTCAAACAGGTGTTGAGAAGCTTGGATAATAGTTCAGCATTAGGTTTATTAAGTTTAACGATATATAAATGGAAATACCTTTTGGTAGTTAGAAACGGAGGAGCCAGACTTGTAGTAAAATTGGATAAAGTTTGGGATCATATGGGCAGTTTTACTTATTGAAGTTCTAAGATGGATACAGAACAGGCCTGTGACTGATTATTAGAGCAAGAGGTTGGAAGAATTAATGGATGAAGTGTTCAGGGAAAGCTATGAGACAAGGCAGAGTACTATTATTCATAATAGGAGAAGTTTTTAAGCATTACTTTAGCAGCCTTTTTCTGCAATGAGAATTTAGCCCTACAGAAAAAGATTTCTCTTTTCAGTTTTTCTAAATGTGGAATATAGCTAGTATCATCCTAAATGCATAACCTAGAAGTTAACCCATTACTTGTAATACATAGTTTAAGGCATTAGAGCTTAATTCTTTTGAACTGATTGGGAAGGACTGTTCTGATTTATCACATTCCAAAAGGTTACTCAAAAGAAATAGGCATGGATAAGTCTATAGATTAGGTGGTCTTTGATAACAGAGTTTCGGTACAGTGGTTGCAGCAGAAACCAAATTAAAGGAATGTGATATAACAAAAAGCTTTAGGAACATCTAACAAGTGCCCCACAGTAGAATGATTTTGATATTAATTGGTTACTTCCTCTTGATGGAATTTTATGTAGTTTCTAAAGTTGCAGTTAAGGGGAAGTACTTAAAAAAGAAATGAGGCACAACATTATATAAAATGAATCCATCTATATAAAAACTAGAATTAGAAACAAAGAGAAGGAAACAAATATGATAATGATCATTTTTAGGATATTATAGCTGTGGGTAATTCTGCCCTATTTTCAGTATTACTGGTTTTGCAATTGACTTTCATTGATGAATATGATGGCATAACAGGGTTTGAATTCATTTTCTTTACTCTGGAAAAAGAAAATCAGGCAAATAATGAACAGTTTTTAATCATTGGGTAATAAGCAATACAGGATTCTGATCTGTGAAAGATGTATGAAAATAAGGTGAGCCCCCACTATTGCTCTAGCTTCCTCTGTAGGCAGTTTCGAGGCCACAGTTCAGTGATGAGAAAAGAGGAAGGATGGGGGTAGGTAGGATAGAGAGAGAATGAATGAATGGGAGAAAGGTGGAAAGTTCCCCCTCTTGGTAGCATATTTACATGGTCAGAGGAAGCAACAACAAAGTGTTGAACAGGGAAGAGTCACTACACAGAGAAGTTAATGTGATAAAACTAACTTTAGAAAACCAGTAAAAACAACTAGGAGATGAATGCCCTTAAGAAAAAATAAATAACAAAATTTAAAATTGACTTTAAAATAACTGTTTTAAGTTACCCAAAGAGAAAAGAAGGATTCTATTAATTATGGCATAAGTTATTAGATCAATCTTCTCACTGAGAGTGAAAAAAAAAAAAAACCTTAGAAACTTCAAAGAAATACAACTAGGGCAGAATTTAGTAGAAGGTGAGAAAGTAGAAGTTAGTGCTGAAAACTACATTCCACCTGAAAATGTATAACAGTTTAGAAGAAACATCTGTGATGATAAGATTTTGAGAACATTGAGAATTGAAAGAGACATGTCTGAGTGTAGTGTAATTCTGCTCAATATGGAGTGACTAATTGTACATCTGATTTTCACTTTTTACCTTAAACACTTATATTCTCAGAATAGTAATAACCTAAAAGTAAGCTAGCCTTCCTTGTAGACCTCTAGAACTGTATATTAACTTAAGAAAATTGTGGCCTGTTTAGTGTTTTTAGGAGCTTGTCATAAGAAAACATGGATTTGTTCTGAAGGAAAGATACCTTAATTCTAGGCTTTAAATTATTTTTACAGTAATTATTCAAGCAGAGGTCTATAGATTGCTTGAATTCTCAGATTTCCAAGTAAAGAAAATTCCAAAAGTAGCTGCCTGCACAAAATAAGACAACAGAAACAGCTGCCAAGAAATAAGATGTTGGAATTATCAGACATTGACTTTTAAACCATAGTACTTATTACATTTGGAGAAATAAGTCAATTTATAAATTTTCTGCAGAGAACAAGAAAACAAAGTCCTGTAATAGTTGGCCTCAAAGTACAGAAGTATGGTATTTCTTAGAACATTAAGTAGTTAATTTTCAAAAGTAAATAACAACTGATAAATTTTAGTAGATTGGAATTAAAAACTTCATTAAAACACACCAGATTATATCTTACTCTAATTTAGGTAATTTAGGACCCAATTCTTGTGTATGTACTGTCATGTAACTAAAAAGAACCAGTTAAAAAGAATAAATACCACCCTCTGTATTAAATTTGAAACTCTTACACCCAGAACAGCTCAGGAACATACACAAAGAAGTGTTGAGAGTGTGTTTAAAGTATGTCTTACAAACAAAAGTAGTTGAAAAAATTTAGCAACTGTAATCAGTTCATTTAGGTAATATGAGAAGTTAAAGATTGAATGCTTAAAAGCCAGTGTGTTTTAAATGAAATTAATGAGTCACCTTCAGGGCCCAGAAAAGCATCTGTTGAGTATACTTAAAGGATTTTATTTTACTTTTGCTTAACATTTTATCTATAGTCTCAGTAGTAGTAATTCATTTTAAAAAGTAAAACTTTTGCTACATAATGAAGTATTACATATTAAAACTGCTTCTTATCTCCCTTCAAAAGTAATTACTTTTATCTTGTAAAAGAAATTATGAATAAATTCTCAGAAATTTTTTGTGTGCACTAATTTGGAGAGAACTCATCAGTCCTCATACAATAATGTACACCTGTGTCAGGGAGGGCTGTCTTTGTAATGGTAATATAGAATCTTTGTCTCCTGTTAGTCCTACCTACAGATCTTTTCTTCTTGTTTCGCAAACTCAGTTGATGTTGGCATTATCTAAAATCCATGTATGTAGATTAGTTGTTCCTAAGCTTGTGAAATATGTCTGGATATGTCTTGGAAGGAAGGAAGTATTTTCTTAATTAAAATTTAACTATTTTGTTTTTCATTTGAACAGTTGAACCCACTGTGAGCCTGATAAAAGGGCCAGATTCTTTAATCGATGGAGGAAATGAAACAGTAGCAGCCATTTGTATCGCAGCCACTGGAAAACCAGTTGCACATATTGACTGGGAAGGTGATCTTGGTGAAATGGAATCTATTACAACTACCTTTCCAAATGAAACAGCAACAGTTGTCAGCCAGTACAAGCTGTTTCCAACGAGATTTGCTAGAGGAAGGCGGATTACTTGTGTTGTAAAACATCCAGCCTTGGAAAAGGATATCCGATACTCTTTCATGTTAGATATACAGTGTATGTAAAACCTAATTTTTGCTTTTCAACTTGAGTCATGTATTTTTTAAAAATCTGTATTTTTCCCTCAACAAATTATTGTAAATTCTTATTTTTATTTGTTCTAATTAGTTATACATGACAGTAGAATACATGTTGATACATCATGTATAATGGAATATAATTTCTCATTCTTCTGGTTATACATGATGTAGAATCCCTTTGGTTGTATAGTTATATATGTGCATAGGTTAATAATATCTGATTCATTCTACTATCCTTCCTACCCTCATACCCACTTTCCTCTTCATTCCCCTTTACCTAATCTAAAAACTAGTCTAGTCTTCCTTAGCATCCCTGCCCTATTGTGAATTAGCATCTACATATTGGAGAAAACATTTGTCCTTAAGTTTTGGGTGATTGGCTGATATTCTCCAGCTCTATCCATGTATTTTATTTTTCTTCTTTTGACATCTTTCGTCAAGGTATTTTTAATCTGAGTATGTAGTATTCAGACAATTCTATAGCTTTTCATGGCTGACATTTTTTCTTTTTATTTTTTTATTTATATTTACATAAAATTTTCATTCACTCAGAACATTTTTTATTTTTCTTTTTTGTATTCAGATTTGGGATTGAACTCAGGGGCACATCACCACTAAGTTATATTGCCAGTCCTTTTCATTTTTTATTTTGAGTCAGGATCTTGCTAAGTTGCTGAGAGCCCTTACTAAGTTGCTGTGGCTGGTCTTGAACTTGCAATCCTTCCGCCTCACCCTGCCAAGTCACTGGGATGACAGGTGTGTGCCACTGTGCCTGGCTCCTAATCAGAGCATTTTTTATTATTTTGTGAAAAGGACTTTTATGACCTTAAAAGTAGACTGGATATAAGGGAATTGGAAAATTTGTATCTCAAAATGTACAATACTTAGGGACAGACAACTCCATTGTGTTTGAATGATTATTTACTTTCATGGAACTTACCCATGCTTGCTGTTTTCACAAGAGTCTTATTTCCCTAGGTACATTTTTAACTAGTTTGAAAATTGTTTTTCAATATTATTTCTAATCTGATCTTATTGGTAATGTTCTAAGATTCTTAGGTAGGTAAAACAATATTTTAAAAACACTGGGATAATAATAATTATAGATATGTTTTAAAGCTGGCTTGTGCTTAAATTTTGTTGTTATTAAGGGGTACTTCATCTGTATCTACTTTTTTCTTTTCTATAGAGTTTCTCAGTTTGGGGTGTATTGTGATTTGTTTATTTGCATTTTAAAATTTTGAGCAAAAGAAAAGGTGATTGAGTGTTGCTTATAATTTATAGCAAATATAATGAAAATTAAGCAGGTTAGAGTGAGAACATTAGTAAAAATATTTAGATTCTGTTGTCATGTCCATTCATGCACAAATTATAAATCTAGATAGGTTTTTGAAGGAGTTACTTCATTTTTTTGTTGTTATTATTTTGTTTTTTTTTGAAGTGTCATGCATGGAATTTTAAATTATACATTCATTAAACTTGTAATGGTTTTTAAAGTTAATTCAGAGTATATTTTTCAGTTTTTATGGGGTTAAACTTGAGAGGCTGTACTTATATGAATGTTGTTACCATTGCATTCTTGAATACAAATACCATCTTTTCTTCTCAGTTCTTTGGAGAAACTATTTTCGTTTTTGAATGTTTCCTTCCTTTCACAGACTCTTTTTCCTTATAAAATTCAGATCTCAACTGTAAATACTACCATTTCTCATATATATATATCTATTTACCTGTATCTAATAATGTGACATTTTCTTGTTTTTATTATTTAACATCATTATTATTAATTTTTTTCTTTAATGTAATCATAGACATATAATATTATTTTTTCTAATGTAGTTGTCATAATAATGGTATTTATTTATTTTTTTATTAATTTTATTTTATTTTAATATTTATTTTTTAGTTGTAGTTGGAAAACAGTACCTTTATTTCACTTATTTATTTTTATGTGGTGCTGAGGATCGAACCCAGGGTCTTGCACGTGTGAGTTGAGTGCTGTACTGCTGAACCACAACCCCAGCCCCAATAATGGTTTTTATTATTGACTTGCTTCTAAATGTTCTTGGAATATTCATGACTTTTTCCTTAAATGGAAAATACAACATGAACAAGTTTAAGGGGATAGTCTTGGAGTCCAATTTCATACCTCAAAATTAGGGGGTATTTTTTTTAGGAATACATTAATTCCTATTCTTTCTTCCTTTAAAAAAGAGATTAAACCCACTCACAGATGTGTACTCTTTCAACAACATAATTTAGCACAGTTTTAAGTGTTGGCTAATTCTTGGTATTTTTAAGAGGCAGGCATTTTTTTTTAATTATCAAGGTTAGCAGTAACTTAGTAAAAGTTTAATTTTTTACAGCTTTTTGGTAAACTGCTTTTCAGTAGACCAGGCTTTCCTAAAAGATTTAGACTGACCTGATGTCAATTTAACCTTTCATCTGTTGTCGTTTGCTATTCACTTGTTTTCTATGTTGCTCACAGAATGGTCTCTGTATCATACATAAGAAATGTTTTAAGGAATCCTTTTATGGCTTCTCTCACCTCTAATATAGCCTCAATTTAAATTAGGTTCTTGTTCTTATTCTTTTAACATCTTACTTTTTTCTTTCTTGATTTTCACGGTAGGTTTTAGCTAAATATTTATTATTAAATGTCATCCTCCTCATTTTAGTAGAATATAAATTTTATGAATAAAGAATCTAAATAAATATATGCCACATACCTAAAATGGAGTCTTTATCTCATTAGGAGTTAAACAAAATGATGATTGAATGAATGATAGGTATTGCTGTTTATGATTTATAGGCAGACATTTATTTTTGGTAGATATGAGTAATTGCTTCTTCAATAGCCACACATATGTTAAGAGATCTTAGGGATCATTGAATGAATAAAGTTTAATTTTTAGTACTATTTAGATAATTTACTTTTAAGTATGTAGTCTCACAAAGTCTGTGCTATAGTTTTCCATGCTCATAGACTATTAGTTAACTATAACGTACAGAATTTTTTTCCTCTAACTGACTTGCTGTCTCTTAGCAGATATATTTCCTTTTGGATCAAATATATTTTAAATGATAATTTTATGTGGTGATTTGGTTCTACATGATACTTAAATGCCATGTCTCATTATTTAATTAAGTACTACAATGTATTTGATTTTTTTCATGTGTTGTCTACATCTCTCATAATAGGACACTCACACTTTGCTTTTTGTGATTATAGGTTTATGAGTAGTCTTATATTCAACATCCTTAATAATTAGAACTGTGTATGCTTATAGTTGTCTAGTGTCTGGGTACTCATTATCCATTCATTGATTCATTCCTTAGGCATCTAAAATTTGAGTATTATCTTCCATATTGATTGATATATGTTGAGAACAGAAAAAATAATTGCTGTTCTTATAATGTTTAGTCTGTTGTGTTTATATTTTATCATTGTATATTGCATTTACCTATAGCCAAAGATGACTTGTTCTGTCATGTGTTTATTTTATAGATGCCCCTGAAGTTTCAGTAACCGGATATGATGGAAATTGGTTTGTAGGGAGAAGAGGTGTTAATCTCAAGTGTAATGCTGATGCAAATCCACCACCATTCAAATCTGTGTGGAGCAGGTAATGTTAGATTTTGCTTCAGAAGAGAAATTATTTAAACGTGAAGAACATTCTTTTTTCCCATACTGAGGATTGAACCTAGTAACATTGTATCATTGAACTGTATATTCCCAGAGCTTTTTATTTTTTATTTTGAGACAGCATTTCCTTAAATTGTCCAGGTTGGCTTCAAACTTGATCCTCCTGCCTCAGCCTCCTGAGTTGTGATTATAGGTATGGCCACCATGCCTGATTAAATATGAAGAGTAATCTTAAATGCATATTTAAAACTTTTTTTATCAGTACATGCCTGATTATAATAGCTGAATAATTTATTTAAAGGAATGATTTCTAAATGTTCTGTTGCCTCATTCCTCTGTACTTTCCTACCTTGTCAGTTGCTCACAGGCTGCGTTAGCAAATTTAGTCATCCTTTCTTGTAGTTCCCCTCTTAGGTTTTAAGCTGCTGCTTCTTGATTTACCAATTTTTAATACTGTTCACTTCTTTGGTAGATGAATTAATTTTATATCCACCCCTTCACCCACAAATACACATTCTTACTCTTTATTGATTCATTGTCTGAATGAATTTAGGTTACTTTTAGTTTAACTCTGTAATTTTTATTTGCCTCCCTATAACAGGTAAGTATTTTTTTTTACCAAGGGTTAAGTAATATACCAGCATCCTGGTTTTTGTTGTTGTTTTTGTGGTTGAAAGCTCTCTTTGTTTTCCTTGTAACTAATAGTTATCTCTTTTTTACTTATGTAGTTTATTATCTATATTTCCTTGATTCTTTTTTTCTCTAAAATTCGAAACTGTTATACTAAAGTTTTCATTTTTATTTCTCAGTATTTGGAGCTTATTTCAATCTTTAGACATATATCTTTGGACAGTTGTCTTTTGTCATTTCACTTTATTCTTTTTGTTTCCTGTTCACTTTTACTGAAACTACTATTTATATTGTATAATAAGTATATTTATTGTTTTTCTAGCAATATTTTCTTAATCAAAAATTTTTCTGTTGACTTAATTTTTTAAAAAATTGACATATTTACAATTTCTTATAAGCACATTCTTATTCCCTGTTGTTTCATAGCATTCTTTTCGTATTTTATAGATACGGTGTCTTCTAGTTTCTTTCCAGGGATACTAGAGTATTATTTCTTCCCCAGAGATTTTTTTTTTCTGCCTTCTGCATATTGTCTCATTCTCCCAGATTCTTGAGGTTTGACCTTTTCTTTTTGTAGATAATCATTTTGGTTTTCAGTCATTTCAGAGTGAGACATTAAAATAAAGTGGATGGTGGAAACTTTTTCTTCTGTAGGTTCCACTTTGAATGACCATGTAGAGATTATTTTCCTAGGGGAAACTCTAGGTTTCACAAATGGACAAGTGGGAATTTTTTTCTTCATAAATTATGTTTTCTTCATAAATTATTTATAGAATTTACCTTCATATTTTAGCCTGAGAAGTAAATGCCCGGTATTGGTACCAAGTTGGAAGGAATCTGTTGATTTTTTTGTAGCTTTGAACTAATCTTATTTTCAGCCCTTTGCCTTATGCTGACCTTCTGTAGAAACAGTGAGTCAAACTCAGTAGATCTTTCTAACCTTGACACTATTTTCATTTGGGGCTAGATAATTTTTTTTTGTGATATGTTATAGTATTTTTAGCACATCCCATGCTTCTATCCTCTAAAGTAGCACCTTCTACTCCCCCATTAGGATAACCCAGAATCACTCTCCATTGAGAAACACTGGCTTAAAGCATATAACTATTTCCTCCATCTATTTTCTGTTTTCTCAATGTTTGTCAAATCTATCTTGTCTGTCCCTTAACTTTTGTTTTTGGTGTGATTTTATAGAAACAAGAAAACAGTATATTGATTACTTTGTTTCCTTTAAGAAAGATGGTTTTAAATGGAGAGAAGTTCTTTTTTCATTTATTTTTTTTAAATGGGAAGTAGTAATGAGTTAAGATATCTATTTGTTAAGGTATTTACAAAAAACAAGTAAATCTGGGTTCTTGCCAAGTGTCTGTACTTCTAGATATCTTTTTTGATTGAGTCATTTAATCTCTCTAATACTTAGTTTCCTTGTAGATAACAGTATTTCAGATAAAAAATACTGAGACAGATGAATCAGGTACAAGAGCATAGAAGATGCTTAGCATATGCCATTCCTTACATGTATAGTGTTATATGTAGATTTTTCTGACGGTGACTTTTCTGAGTAAACTTATGAACATTATAAGACATTTTTAAAATTTCTCAGAGAATTAAAAGGAGTAGAGATTGGGGCCCAAGGACTCATGCTTGCTAGATAATTGCTCTACCATTGAGCTACATCCCTAGCCCTTTTATTTTAAGACTGTATAACTAAGTTTCTCAGGATGCCCTCTGACTTGGGATCCGTTTGCTTTCTTCTCCCTAGAAGCCAGGGTTACAGGAATGTGCCACTCCTTCTGATGATATTTGTTTTTTAAACAATGTAAAAATATTGTCTTTACTCTTCAGTGCTGAATTAAAGTTCTGTTCCCAAAATCCAAAATGTGATTTACTCCAAAATCTGAGACTTTCTGAATGCTGATGCATTACAATTTCAGATATTTGGAATAGTGATGTTTAAATAAAAAAGTCTATGCAAATATTCAGAAATCTTCAAAATCTGAAAACTTTGTGGTCCTAAGCATTCAGATAAGAGATACGTAGTCTCTACTCATAACTACAAAAGATTGTACCCATTGTTTTTTTCACCTACTACCCTTAGGATTCCAAAACAAAATTGTGCCACCTTTGGATAGAACAAGTATCAATTTGTATTAGTATTCTGTGATGCTCTACAAATATGCTTTTTCTTTTTCTTTTTTTTTATTTGTAATTTTCAGATATATGTGGCAATAGAATGTATTTTGACATATTATACATGCATGGAGTATATTTAGGATCCCATTTTGGTGTTTGTACATACTGGTGATATATTCATATGTGAACGTAGGAAAGTTATGTCCGTTGCATTCGACTGTCTTTCCTATTTCTACCTCGCTTCCCTTCCCTACATTCCCCTTTGTCTAATCCCATGGGCTTGTACCCACCTACATGCCTACCCCTGCCTATTGTGGGTTAGTGCCCACATATCACAGAGTACGTTCAGCTTTTGTTTTTTGGGTTTGGCTTACTTCACTTAGCATGATAGTCTCCAGTTCCATTAATGTACTGACAAATGCAATGATTCCATTCTTCTTTAGGGCTGAGTAATCTTCCATTGTGTATATATGCCACATTTTTTTAATCCACTAATCAATTGAAAGATAACACTGAATGGTTCCATAGCTTAGCTACTGTGAATTGAATTGCTATAAACATTGTTGTGGCTATGTCACTGTTATATGCTGATTTAAGTCCTTTGGGCATATATATACCAAGGAGTAGGACAGCTGAGTCAAATAGTGATTCTATTCCAGGTTTTCTGAGGAATCTCCATACTGCTTTCCATAATGGTTGCACCAATTTGCAGTCCCACCAGCAATGTATGAGAGTATCTTTTCCCCCATACCCTCAGCAACGTTTATTGTTACTTTTATTCTTTATAATTGCCATTCTTACTGGAGTGAGATGGGATCTCAGTGTAGTTTTGAATAGCATTTCTCTAATTGCTAGAAATGTTAAACATTTTTTCATATATTTGTTGACCATTCATGTTTCTTTCTTTTCTTTTTTTTTTTCTGGTACTAGGAATTGAACTCAGGGACACTTTACCACTAAGCCACATCCCCATAACTTTTTTGTATATTATTTAGAGACAGGGTCTCATGAGTTGCTTAGGGCCTCACTAAGTTGCAGAGGTGGGCTTTGACCTCACAATCCCCCGTCTCAGCCTCCCATTCATATTTCTTCTTATGTGAATTGCCTGTTCAGTTTCTTTCCCATTTATTGATTGGGTTATTTGTTGTTTTTGGTGTTAAGTTTTTTTGAGTTATTTGTATATCCTGGAGATTATTGTTCTATTTGAGATGCAGGTAGCAAAGATTTTCTCTCATTTTGTAGGCTCTCTCTTCATGCACTTGATTGTTTCTTTTGCTGGGAAGAAGCTTTTTGCCTTGATACCATTCCATTTATTGATTCTTAATTTTACTTTTTGTGGTTTAGGAGTATTGTTGAGGAATTTGGTTCCTAAGACAACATGATGGAGAGTTGCACCAAAGTTTCTACTAGTAGGCACAGGGTCTCTGGTGTAATGCCTGTGTCCTTGATCCACGTTGAGTTGAGTTTTGTGCAGAGAGATAGGGGTTTACTTTCTTTCTGCTGCATATGGATTTCCAGTTTTCCCAGCACCATTTGTTGAAGAGGCTGTCTTTTCGCCAATATATGTTTATGGCACCTTTGTCTGGTATGAGATATAACTATATTTATGTGCGTTTGAGACTGTGACTTCTGTTTTGTACTGTTGGTCTACATGTCTGTTTTTGTGCCAATACCATGCTCTGTGCTGTAACTTAAGGTATGGCATTGTGATGCCTCCTGATTCGCTTTTCTTGCTGAAGATTGCTTTTGTTATTATGGGCCTCTTATTTTTTCAAATGAATTTCATGACTGTTCTTTGAATTTCTATGAAGAATATCAATGGAATTTTGATAGGAATTACATTATGACAGTATGGCCATTTTGATAATATTTATTCTGCCTATCTAACAACATGGGACATCTTTCTATCTTCTAAGGTCTTCTTCAATTTCTTTCTTTAGTGTTCTTAGTTTTCTTTGTAGAGGTCTTTCACCTCTTTTGTTAGATTGATTTTGAAGTTTTTTGTTGTTGTTGGCTTGTTTTGAGGCTATTGTGAATGGAATAGTTTTCTAATTTCTCTTTCAGCTGATTCATTATTGGTAAGTAGGAACACAATTGATTTATGGATATTAATTTTATATCCTGCTAATTTGCTGAATTTGAGTTCTAGAAGTTTTTTGGTGGAGTTTTTGGGTCCTCTAAATATAGAATCATGTGGTTGGCAAATAGGGATAGTTTTGAGTTCTTCTTTTCCTATTTGTATCCCCTCAATTTCTTTCTTCTTTCTAATTGCTTTGGCTAGAGTTTTTAGGACTATAATGAATAGAATAGTGAAGACATCCCTGTCTTTTTCCAGTTTTTTGGTTATGTTTTATTGATGTATAATGCCCTTAAGCTGTATGAAAGACCTAAACTTTGGCTTGAAGTCCACTTTATCTAATATGAGGTTAGAAACCCCTGCTTGTTTAAGAGATCCTTTTGAATCATGTTTTTTTCCCATCATTTTACCTTCAGTCTGTAATGTCTTTGCCAATAAGCTGCGTCTCTTGGAGACAGCATATTATTGAGTCTTGTTTTTTAATCCAATCTGTGTCTTTAAATTTATGAGTTTAGGCCATTTACATTCAGTGTTAATTTTGAGCAATGATTTTTATTTCCTGTCATTTTGATTTATTTCTGGTTTTTAGTTTGAATTAGTTTCTCCTTTGATGGACTGACTATTCTGCTAGTGTAGTTCCTCCCTTTCATGCTTTACTTTTATTTTTCATTTTTTTAAATATTTATTTTCTTTCTAGAAGTAGTTGAACACAAGACCTTTATATTATTTTTTATTTTTATATGTGGGTGGTGAGGATTGAACCCAGGGACTCACATGTGCTAGGCAAGCACTCTACCACTGAGTCACAGTCCCAGCCCTTATTTTTCATTTCTTAATGAAATATTTATTGAGTATGTTTTCTAGTGTCAGCTTTCTAGTTGTGAATTGTTTTAACTTTTGTTTATCATGGAAAGTTTTTATTTTAATCTCAGTTCTGAAACTTAAGTCTAGTCTACAGGATATAGTATTATTTGTTGGCATCTATTTTCTTTCAGAGTGCAGTATATACTATTTGAAGACTTCCTAGCTTTGAGGGTCTGGGCTGCAAAATCAGCTGAGATTCAGATTGGTTTCTCCTAAATGTGACCTATTGTTTTTCTCTGGCAGTTTTTATAACAGTCTATCAAAAAGTCTATTTTGTACATAAGGCATGTCATAATAATGTGCCTTGGTATGGGTCTGTTTAAATTTTTATATTTTGGGTCCTGTAAGCCTCTCCTGTATTTGATTTTCCATATCATTCTTAAGGTTTGAGAAATTTTCAGATATTAATTCCTTGAATGATTGTTCCTTCCTTTGGTTTGTATCTTTGTATGCTCTCTATAACTATATTATAGAAGATGCCAAAACATCTTTTCACTAAGAAAATTTTAGTTTGTTTATGTTTATTCATAATTCATGGAGAATTTTAATTGCTTTGAAATTATTGATAATACCATAAAATAATATTTTTCTAATTTGTAGTTTTCTGAATACATATTTTTAAAACCAATTTTTTCTCTTCTTTCTTCCTATTCTATTCTGTCCATCTAGTTACACTTACATGGATTAATATTTGGAAAGAATAGGTATACTTAATGGACTTTTCTCTAATACTTATTTATTAAAATGAAAATTTCTTATGTGTTTTTGTTTCATAGTTAATTGTATCTGAAATATAATGATTATTTTACTAGCATCGAAAATTAATGTTTTTTAAAAAATAATTGTCAATAAATTCTGTATGAAGATACTTAAAATAATTTTATGCTTTTTAAAATGTAGGTTGGATGGACAATGGCTTGATGGTTTGTTGGCTTCAGACAATACTCTTCATTTTGTCCATCCACTGACTTTCAATTATTCTGGTGTTTATGTCTGTAAAGTGACCAATTCCCTTGGTCAAAGAAGTGATCAAAAGGTCATCTACATTTCAGGTAAGTTACTGTCTACTTGCAAAATACCTTACTTAAAATATTCCTTTGGTAACAATTATATAATAATGTGATACAGTAATAAAGGTATAGATTCATCAGTGTAAAGTTTTCCAGATATATAAAAGGCATATGATGAAGTAATACCTGTCTGAAATACATATATAAGGTGGTATTCTTAAAGAAATGACAAAATATCTATATAGCTTTATATATATTTTAATATGTATAGTTTTCAGTTAAGTTGTATTACTTATTTTTTTATTTTTTAATATTTTTTTAGTTGTTGATAGACCTTTATTTTATTTATTTATTTTTATGTGGTGCTGAGAATCTAATCCAGTGCCTCACATATGCTAGGAAAGTGCACTAAAACTGAGCCACAGTCCCAGTCCTACTTGTTTCTTTTATAGGTATTGTGCCTTTCTAAATTCTTTTGTCTTTAAACAAAGAACAGTGATTTTCTATTCCCCCTTTGCTGAATACTCTGCATACATTTGTCTGATAAATAAAATAGGATATTAACTTTGATAACCTGCTTTGTTAAATAACATTACTTTCTACCTGACTATGTTGGGTTACTGAGAGGTGAAGTAGGAATGCTCTTGAAAATATTTTAATGAAATAGAATGTACTTTTTTTCTTATGGTCAGTTGTTAAGCTGGTAAGAACTTAGGTTTTTCACTTATTATTTGTCTCATCAAATGTTAATTTGGCTGAATATGAATTTGGCCATTCACATTGTAGTTATCAATTATTAATGGAATCCTTATTTAGAAACAATATATAAATTATTTTGAGTAACTACTTAACTGTAAGTATATATCAAGCTATATGTTTAACAAATGGAAAATTAAGGGGAAAGTATAATAGAATCTAAAATTGCAGATTTGTATGATAATTGTTGAAGGGGTAATTAAAGTTTTATCTCTTTAAATCTAAAAGTAAATAAATTAGAGATATAAAATTTTTCATGATTGCTTAAATGTTATATTCTCAGACCTATGTAATCATTCAAGCTGAGCTTATATTATTTTCTCATAGTACTCACCACAATTTATAGTTGTATTCATATTTATTTATTATTGATCCTCAAATTTAAGCACCTTGTATTTATTTTATCCACTACTGTATACTCAGCAATTATCTTAGTGCCTAGCACAATGATAGACTCAAATATTTTTTTGTATTATACCTGCAAGAAGCTTAGTGCTATATACATCCCTACCTCTTTCTGCTAGTAACAATGCTTTTGTGGAAATCTGAGGGAGATTAACCATTAGTAAATGTCTTTCTTCCATTAGGGGATAAGCCATAGGAAACACATATTTAAAATGTAATTACCTGAAGTCTGTTTATTTTTGTGCCTATTGAACAGTTTGGTGTGGGATATTATTTGTAAATTTTAGGCTTTCCTGTACTCCTATTAATAGAACTCAATTTGGATGCTCTTAATATATGCTAATTCCATTTATGATATCCTAAGTTTATATCTTTTTGGCATTCTGCGTCCACTTCACAGTATCACTGATTTGTATTTTCAACTGCTTATTAATGATCATTAACTATATGTAGCAGTTGAATGGACATTTACAATTTAACATGTTAAAAATGAAATTCTGATCTTATACCTGCCTCTTAACACCAATCCTGTTTTTCTACAGGTTTTCTAACTCAATTTTTTGTAGTTCTAGTCTTGAAAGTATCGTTAATTTTACTTTTTCTCTCAGACTCTATGCTGTCCATAAAGAAATCCGTGTCAGCTTTCCCATTGCATTAAATTGAATTCTATCAGTTATCTACCACTTCCCTGCTACCACGATGGTCCAAGCCATCAGCAACTCTTTAACATCAGTATTAACATAGTCATTTAATATCTCCCATTTTGAATCTGTTATCCTTTAATCTGTCATCAGATGAGCAACCAGAGTGATCATTTTAGAACTATGCCAAATCATGTCGTTCCTCTTCTCAGAACCTTCTATGAACTTTCCATTTTACCTACATTGAGAACCAAAATTTTATAGTGACTTACAAGGTTCTGTACTTGTTCTGGTACCAAATTACCTCTTTGACCTCATTCTTTTATATACCCTTTGCTCACTAGCTCAGCCATACTGGCCTCTTTTTTCTTGTTTGAACACGACAGATATATTTCTGCCCATCAGTCTTTGCATTTTCTGTTTCTACTGCTTGGAGTGCTCTTCCACTAGAGTATTTTCATACCTATTTACCCCACATCTTTTAGGTCTTTGATAAAGTACTGCATTTTTGAGTAAGGTCTTTCTGTTTTCATGATTGTAAAATTGAAAATCTTCTCTTCTTACTCTTTCACCCCTTTTTGTCCTCTGTGCCTTACTTTTCTCTCAAACACTTATTGCTATGTGACATACTGCATATTGTGTTCATATGCTTGTCTAATTTTGCACTCACCAGAATTTAAGTCCTAAGAGGGAAGAATTTTTGTCCACTTTAATCACTGTTGTATTTCCATCATCTGCAGTTTTGAATGTAATAGGTATTCAGTACATTTTTGTTTATGTATGTATGTATGAATGAATAAGTTTGAGAAGAGAATAAGCAGGAAAGAATTAAAATTCCAGAATTTGCTTTTATGTAATTTTATTTGCCTTAATTAAGGGACTGATCACTTTACACATTTTTAAAAATCAACATCTACTAAATCTTTATAAGAATGAAAATCAAATTTTAAGAAAATGTGAAAATTAGTTAATTATTGCTAGATATTTCAGAAGAAGAAAGCAGTATGTGAAATGATTTTCTTCCAAGTGATCAAGAATTAGACTTTACCTTTCTACCCAAGAGTCTACACAATACAGTATACTATGCCAGGTTTAGTTTACTTTGGTAAGAGTTTCTTGGAGTTTGCCAAGAATCATGGGTATAATATTGCTTTAAAAAAATTAACTATTTCGTAAAACCTTTTAAATCGGAATAAAAGGCCATAATTAAAACAGAATAAACAGTTATTTTTTTCATTGTAGACTTTAGAAAATTTTACCTCAGTATTGTTGAAATAGACACCTTAAACTTTTAGAAATGATTTTTAAAAATATAAAAGAAATATATCTTATGATGAGTCTCAAAGTTCTACTTAGAACACAGTAGAGTTAACAACTGTGAGTCAAATTGTTTTAAATTTTATTACCCATTTTCCCATACTGTTAGACATATGATTTTGAACAAGAGGCCCTTGATTCATGATTGCGATTTTCAACTGTAAATATAGATTCTACTCTAATATATATTTTCACTATCCTGGGGTGCAGTGGCTCTTTATCCGATACTGAATATTGAACGTTGTTTTCCTTGTTTGCTTTTTTTCCTCCCTGATTTTTCTCATATTTTCTTTAAAAATAGAAAAACAAAATTTTAAATGTCAAATAAACTCCCCTATGCCTAAAATTGTATTCCTCTGAAAAAGTTGAATTTCAGATCATACTGATTTGAGGGTCGAGACACAATGTCAAAACTAAACAATCAACATTTAGCATGCCTTAAGTTTTAAAATGCATGGATTTGTTTATTTAAACAACCCATAAAAGTCTAAAGAAATAGAAGTAATCCATGTAATTTTTTCATGGATTTTTAATTTATTTATTAGGCAAAAATCTGCCTTATAGCTATTACTAAACTATTTTTACTAAACTATAGCTACCTTACTAAACTATTTTTCTGTTTGATAGGAGACATTAGTTAAAAAAGAAACTAGAGAACTTAAGAGAGGAAATCAGGATGTTCTAGAGTCCATTATATATCTATTATATTCTCATTTATCACACATTCAATAAAAAATTTTAAAAATGTGTCTGACTGAAAAATATGGAATGATATTGGGAACAATTTTTATATCATGATAAATAAGTACCTGTTTATGATTATAAAATAGTCTTGCCTCATTTGAATTATGACTTTCATTCTAAATTTAAAAATAAATAAAATTCTCATACATTTTCATATGTTTAAAATACAAAATGATGAAGTATTAAAAATATTCTCTATGCAATGATACTAATAGGATGTCTGTGCTGTATTTAACATTGATTAAGGAGAAGGATAGTGGATTGAAACTTATAGGATCACTAACAAAACTAAGTTAAACAAAATTTAATTTTTTTAGTAGATTTTTCTGAAATCTGTATTTTGTTGAAAATGAATGAAATGAACATTAGACATCCATCAGTATTCATATAAAGAACTTTGCAAGTAGAAATAAAAGTGTCAATTATTATTTTTAGGATATGTGGTAAAAATGTTCAATTATTTGTGTATACTTCATCAGCTCAAGTATATGCACTCTTCTGAGAAACCCAGGAACATATTAGAAGTTACGAAAAAACCAAATTGGAATATGACAAATATATGTATATCATAAATAATTTATGTAGATCTGTACTTAAATGTGCTGATGTCAGTTTGTTTTGATAGTTTTCTTTGAGAATCACTAAAGATGGCATTCAGTACTTAAAACTTGACTTCCCTGTTACTCTTTCTCTTTCAAAAACACAAATCATCTTACAAATGATTTAAGTTAGTGTATTTCTTTATTCTTTATTATCTTAATTCTATAAATTTGGATTGTATGAGCTTTTACTCCTTTTATCCTAGAAATAATCTTCCAATTCCACATTTGTTTGTTCAGCTAGTGAATATGTTCTTAAAAATTATAACTCTTCCTTGATTCTCTTACATATACTATGATAACTAATACTCATTTCAGAGTACTTGACCAGGGTTACCTGTTATATCAGTTTTAGTCAGGAAATTAGTTATACTGTTATTTGTTAAGTTTTATACTGTACTTGCTAAATTTTTACCACATTCTATACATATGGCATACCGTGATGAAACCTGTTTCAGTAAGTATTTTTCTTTAGCTTGTAATATTAGAATAACTTACCCATGTAGATTTAGTATTTTTCTAACAATCACATTTTTAAAACTCTGTCAGTACCACTCATTTAAAAAATTAATTGTAGGATATTACCATTTGGGTCGTTTATTTTTATCTAAGAAAATATTCAAGATTTTTAAGCTCATCTTTTCTTCAAACTTTAGAATTTTTTGTGTAACATGACCTACAAATACTACTTAATTGATAATTAACCAGTCTTTAATTTTTACTATTCATGTTTAGTTGCTTTTTAATATTAATGGCTATTTACTCGTGTAATCTAATGTCTGTATACAGGTTCATTTGCATCTAATATTTAATTATTATTTGAATGTTCTCTCTAAAATATTAGCTTTTTGTGAGATGCTATCTTGAGCAATTATATTAAATTTTGTAGGTATAGCTGAAATTCCTTAATTTTCTAAGTGTTCACCTATGTTAATCATGGAGTATTAGATGGTTTTTACTACATTGTAGATTATAATATTTTTACTTTGTTTTATTTATCAGTCTCTTTTGATAATAGCTATTTGGCTAACACAATTTAAACACATGATTTATGTTTTTTAAATTACTTAGTAATTGTCCTTACTGCGTATTTCCTTTATAAAAATTTAGAGTACTCTTTATCTAAGAAAGAATATTTTTGAGAGAATTATTAAACCAACAACTTATACTGTGCCACCTTAACAAGATTCTATAGTTTTTCATTCTTTGAAAAATAAGTTCAGATTTTACCTTTTAGGTAAAGATGGACATCAAGAAAACTTTTAGTTTTTTATTCTTTCATTTTATTTATTTGTACTACTCGCTAAGAAAATATACATTTGATTACTTAATTTAATTTAATGTTTTGTACAATAATGCTTGAGCCAGCTCTATATAAGACACTGAAGTAATAATCTACATTAAAACAAAAACAGCAACTTTTTATTCCTAGAGTACAGTACACTTTTAAACTTGGAATAAAGTTATTTAGTATTCATTCTTTTCACTGTATTAGTAACTGACTGAGTGTCAGTTTTGTTATTTTTTAAAAGTATATAAAAGTACCATTACTGTCTAATCTTAATCAAATTAAGAATGAAAAACTATTGTTACTATGAATATATATTCATTAACTGTGCTGTCTTTTCAACTTGCTGCTGAATTAGCCTACATTGACATTCTTTGCTTTTCTGTGTCTTGTCTATCTTTACTGTTTCCATTAGATCCTCCTACTACTACCACCCTTCAGCCTACAATTCATTGGCATCCCTCAACTGCTGTCACCGAGGATCTAGCAACAGAACCTAAAAAATTGCCTTTCCCATTGTCAACTTTGGCAACAATTAAGGATGACACAATTGGCACAGTCATTGCTAGTGTAGTGGGGGGGGCTCTTTTCATAGTACTTGTGAGTGTTTTGGCTGGAATATTCTGCTATAGGAGAAGACGGACGTTTCGTGGAGACTATTTTGCCAAGAACTACATTCCACCATCGGATATGCAAAAAGAATCACAAATAGATGTTCTTCAACAAGATGAGCTTGATTCTTACCCAGACAGTGTAAAAAAAGAAAACAAAATTCCAGTGAACAATCTTATACGAAAAGACTATTTAGAAGAGCCTGAAAAAACTCAGTGGAACAATGTAGAAAATCTCAATAGGTTTGAAAGACCAATGGATTATTACGAAGATCTAAAAATGGGAATGAAGTTTGTCAGCGATGAACATTATGAGGAAAATGAAGATGACTTAGTTTCACATGTAGATGGTTCCGTAATTTCCAGGAGGGAGTGGTATGTTTAGCGACCACTAAATGTGACTTAACTATGTACAATGTTTCATTCATACTAGTTGATCATTTTCAGATTGTTCATACTTTTCTTGAGGAAGAATAAGCTTTTTCAAGTTGATTTTCGAGCTTTTTATATTCTAATCTGACAAATGAAAATGTAAAATCTGGGTTCAATGTATCTGAGCTGCTTTACAATTTTTTTCAATGCTGTACTACTGTCTCAAGATTTAAATTTTAATGCAGAGTACTTTATTGGTCTGAGGCACACAGGTAAGAAGAAATGTCAACGTTAAATGTGTGACGTTTTTGGTACAAAAATTAAAAAAAAAAAAAAACAAAAAGAAACTACCTTGGCATTGTGTATTAAATGTTTACCTAAGACTATAATCTCAAGTATAATGTTTGTTAAACATATACCTCTTAAAATTTATCACCACTAAATGATACTACATCAAAATTGACTATAAAGGCAATCCAAAATATGTTTATATATATTTTTAGTATACTAAAAATATTCAGCCTGATGGAACATCTTTCCTTTTCAAACATTATTTTCTAAGTTTCTATACAAATGAAATCTTTACCTCTGCATTTTAATGAGCCTTGCCATAATTACTGTAGAATGGCTTTTCAAAGATATTTTGTTGCACTAAAACTGTGGTAGTAAACTCCATCAACATGATGTGTGAAAGAGTGTCATTAGCTGGTCAATATTTTTGTCTCAAATACATAGAAGAGTAATAAAATACATGCCTTCTAAACATGATAATTATTACAGTTTTTGTCATTTCTGTGAGACAGTTCTTAAATTGTCCTGTGAACATGAATTTTGGTACATTAAGCAGTAGCCTTATTTTAATGCTTTATACAAATAGTTTAAATATACAAGTAGTAATGAACATATGGTACACAATTAAATACAGAACAGAAAGGGCATTTCACTATACCGGCATACCAGTTTTAGAGATGAGGTATTTCAGCCAGGAATCTGTACAAAGGATTTTCTACACCATCTTGTTTAAGTTATTTAATGTTGATGTTGTTCAAACGGGTAAATGTACAGGAAAAAAATTAAACTTGGACACTTGGAATTTAACTAGAAAATTTTGAATTATAGAACCAATTGGTAATATTTGCTGATGAATATTGGCAGTCCATCCCTTTTTTCCTCTTATTTCCTCCTAAATGTATGTATGTGTTTTAAGATTTTTCTTTCTCCAATTAAAACTGGAAACATCATGAGGGGTATTTTTTGTTTTGTTTTGTTTTGGTTTGTTTATTTTTACAGAATTCATTAAGTGTATTCTTTCCAGAATTATGTATCTTTTGAGAAAGAAATGTTATCTAAATCTTGAAATGTGAATCATCTTTGGGAGGTAGTTAAATGACTTCTACAGTGGAATTCTATAAATTTGTAATCATAAAGACAGCTGTTTTGAGGTCCAGAGAATGTGTTTTGTTGATTCATTAGGGAAAAAAAAAAGACTGTGTAGAATAAATGTTTTACCAGGGCAGTGAAGTAGAAGTAGAATCATTAGGAGAATCACAAATCAAATAAATTTTTTTTAACAAAAAGGTGAAGTAGGTACTTTATTAACCCTCCCAACCACCCATGCTTCCCAATCCTTATCAAATCAAAAATGTGATATAGAAGGCAAAAGTCTTACATGCAAGTAGTGAAAACGTTATTTTAAATAATAATGAACCAGTTTTCTTTAGAAGTATTTGTATAAATTAGAAATTCTTCCCTAATACTTATAAGTCTATAATATCAGTTTAAGGAATAAAGTTAAGTTCATGGTTACCTTGTTTAAAATGTCTGTGTTTTAATATAGTTTAACCACTTATATGCAGATACTAAGACTTCTTAGTCTAAGTCATTGGAAGGAAATGTTAATAATACAATGTGATTGAAATAACTTTATTTTTAATTTAAATATCAGCAGAGATATCAGTCACAAGAAAGATAGGTCTAAAATTTCTTCTCATAAAAATGTAAATTTGTAATTTTGTGGCTTTTCTGATCAAAATTATCTTTATAAATAAGGGTTGGAAATGCTGTATGAATATGAGCTGAATAGTCATGTTTAGGATTTTATGTAAATCTCAATCTGAGTATAATCTGAAAGAAATAGCAATGTATTTCAAGAACTGTTTTTCAAAAATATCTCCTTACTGATTATAACCTTTTTACTTTGTCATCTTATGTGGTTAGTTTTTTTGTTTTGTTTTTGTGGGAGAAGGCAACTTGAAAACATAGAAGTGAGTATTTGATATGTTCTGTATCCTTAATCTGAATCATGTGGCGTACCAAAAGGTTTCAAAGTTTTAGGAATCCTATACTGGTGCTTAAGATGTTTTGGAAGCATTGCACTGTTGCTTATTAGAGGTTTATGTATATATGGTACTGTACATAGGGAATGGTTTGTAAACATAAATAGTTACATGAAATAAACATTTTTGTTAAATTAATTTTTGAATATCAGTTATGTGCCCAGCTAATTATTAGGTATATATGAAACTCTAGTACCTTCTTGGAAAAGATAAAGGAATGATTTCTACTATTCTGGGGCGATATTTACATTTTTTTCTTTTCATATGCTTTCAACCATTTTTCCTTTAGGATTTTTTTTCCTACTGGTTAAAGTATTTCAATAATACAATGAAAATAAATACAACTCTTTTTTTCCTACCATTTTATTAAAATACACTGAAATGTTTAGTAGGCTAGGGGCTAACTTTAAAGATGATTTTTGACTCTGTAGTTTTTGTCATATGCCTAACAGAACTTTTTATTTTTGATAATTTTGATATTAAGGAAACCACTAAGATTTTTGGTAGTAAATCTAGCTTCTGATAGCCATTTGTAGTAAAGTTTAAGGTAATGATGGCTACATGTTTTGCATTAAGGAACCATAGAAAGTACAAAATGGAAGTGCAAAAACAGAAATGTGGCCGTTTCACATGCAAGAAAATGTGATTTGAGTTTCATTTTTATTTTGGTAAATACTGCTAAAACAAAATATATATATGTTCATGTAAGAAGTTGTTATTATGTGGAAGTAATCAATGTACAGTATAAGAAAGGAAGAAATGGTACCCATATTGAAATGTGAATTCTAGTAGGGGAATAGAGTATAAATTGAATATTTTTTTTCTATTTACTCATCAACTAGAAATGCACTCTCCATGAAAAGGTCCTTTCTCAAATTTTTTGACATGTTGGGTTTGAGTTTAATTGCAGTTTTCATATTGTGTGTTAGCTCCAATAGTCATGCAACAAACTATTGAAGTTTAAAAATACTCAAAGTACTTTTCCATATTGAGACTGACTTTGTATTACCTTCATCCTCATTTTGCTTACCAGTGGTGTATGTGTGTGTATGTGATGTATTTTCTTTAATTAACAATCAAAATATAATTTAAGATTTGTGGGAATTAGAATGTGGCTTATTTCTCTTCCCAATAATCAGGTTAAGAACATAGGTAAATAAAGTTTGGGAGGAGCATGTAGGTTGCCACGTTAGTCATTAAAATTTGACTTTAACCATTTGATTCCATATATATATGATCTCATGAATAGCATTCAAAAATGTTTGAAAAAATTGTAAAGAACATGTACCATTTTTATTTTCCCTGTAATTACTCCCTAAAACAATAGAATATAACAACTATTTACATGTCATTAGGTAATAGTAATCTAGATATTATTTAAATTATAAAAGAAGATATATGCAGATACTAAATTACAAGGAATTGAGCATCCCTAGATTTTGGTATCAGGGATCCTGGAACTAATTCTGTGGATACTGATGGATAACTGTATTGGCTTTCAGTTGAAATTAATATATTTTGAATGGTATTTATGTTGCTATTTAGTGATGTTTACATATTGCTTGTGAACAGTTTTGATTAAAAATGTCATTGTTTAGAATTGTTTCTCCCGATTCCTATTTCTGACATTTTAAAATTATAATATGTGTATATATATATATATATATATATATATATATATATTATATA